TGTTTTGAGAGATCGTAATAAAACTACATTTCGTAACACACTGGATACACATGTTTTCATTCAGTTCTTTACAAGTAGCTAAAAAGAATCACCAATTTAATATAAAAACAAAAATTTTGCAGTCCAGTACAGACACGTGACCGTTAACTGCAAAGGGCCTATTGTTTTTTCTATCGATGCATCCTAAAAGCCCGCGTTCCTGCTACGAAATGAAGCACAGAATTATGGGTAATTTATTTGTTCATTACATGTTTCATTGTGGTAGCCAATCAGAAATTGCCATGTATGAATAGGACAAGACTCTGCTTTTAGCCAGGTTTCTAGGTCCACGGTGGTCGATCAAACGACTTGTGGGATGTGCGCATGCTCAAAATAGTTTCTTCAGCGTTCGCAGCAAAATGGATGGATGTGAGACTGGAGCTTGATAGAGTTAGATATGATGAATGAATAGACGAGATGGATGTATGACATGAAATAATTAAATGGGTGGATGGAGCGAAAAAGAATCAATAAAAAAATAAGAATAGATGGCTGGAATGGATGGATGGATGGATGGATGGATGGATGGGTAGATGGAGGGAATGGATGGATAGATGGATGGAATGGATGGGTAGATGGAGGGAATGGATGGATAGATGGAGGGAATGGATGGGTAGATGGAGGGAATGGATGCCGGGGTAGATGGAGGGAATGGATGCCGGGGTAGATGGAGGGAATGGATGGGTAGATGGAGGGAATGGATGGGTAGATAGAGGGAATGGATGGGTAGATGGAGGGAATGGATGGGTAGATGGAGGGAATGGATGGGTAGATGGAGGGAATGGATGGATAGATGGAGGGAATGGATGGGTAGATGGAGGGAATGGATGGGTAGATGGAGGGAATGGATGGGTAGATGGATGTTTTAATAAATAAAGGGCTAAATGAATGAGAATAGAAAAGTCTTACTCACGATTCGTCATCCAAGATTAGTACTCGAGAATCCAGCTTGCTGACCAACTCGTCTCCAGTCCCTTCCTGTCAAGGCCTGGTTCCTTGGCTATTCTTATCCACAATTCATGTTGACTGTTAAACATTGCACTAACAATGTACCGCCCTTGTTTCGAAACCTTTAAACATTAACAGTAATTAAACACTTCTTTATTTACCTTCGAAATTTGGCATTTAATTAACTTAGTATCTCCAGAGTGTTACTATGACAACTTATCAATCTTACTGTTACTATGACAACATATCAATTTACGGTTACTATGACAACTTATCAATTTACGGTTACTATGACAACTTATCAATTTACGGTTACTATGACAACTTATCAATTTACGGTTACTATGACAACTTATCAATATTACTGTAACTATGACAACTTATCAATTTTACGGTTACTATGACAACTTATCAATCTTACTGTTACTATGACAACTTATCAATCTTACTGTTACTATGACAACTTATCAATTTACGGTTACTATGACAACTTATCATTCTTACTGCTACTATGACAACTGATTAATCTTACTGTTACTATGACAACTTATGAATCTTACTGTTACTATGACAACTGATTAATCTTACTGTTACTATGACAACCGATTAATCTTACTGTTACTATGACAACTTATTAATCTTACTGTTACTATGACAACTTATCAATCTTACTGTTACTATGACAACTTACCAATAGGTATCCCATTAATGCATGTAGTTTGACGATACCCTTTTCCTCTGCTCGCAGAAAATCAAAGGATGTCATGACTGAGAAGTCTGTTTTAGACAGGGTGTCCTCGACGTTAAGCTTCAAGACCGAATGGTTCTTTGAAGGGATTATCCAATGTCTGTGTGTGATTCCAAGTGCGTTTATGGAAGAATCTGATGGTGTAGGACATTTAAGCAAAAATTCAGTATATATTGTATAACCAGAAAATGCTATTGATAAATGAGGGGTAGAAATTTTGAACAAACTGAAGACATTCAGAAGAAAAGGCATAAGATCTTAACTGAAAACACACAGCGAGAAAATCGTAAATTGAGCGGAAAAAAGAGCAACTCATCGGCAAAAAGGAGAGAAAATGATATATTGTATACAAATATACATAAGCATGATCTGAAAATCCAAAGCAGATATTCATTACAATAACACATTGTTACAGGTGAAGAAATGTCAGTTACCGAAAGCAGCTACTTGTAGCCAACACAGCGATAATGATCGATTGACTTGTGATAAACCAATCCTGATGATATTTGTCTTGAATTCAATGCTACATTTGGCTGTTTGTTTATATCCTGTATCCATGGTGACGCTGCAATAACTAGATTGCCCTGTTTTGTTGTTGCTCGTCTTGACTGCTGCTGGGACAGCATTATTTGTTATCATTGTTATTTCATGTATGTAGACTGTCCTTTCTAGTATTAGTTCTATCCATGGATTCTCTTCCTGCAAAAAAAGAGTTCCGAAAAAAAAAAAGTTAGTGCTATCGATATCTGCTATGAAAGGCCATAGATGGAGACATAACGTATCACAGAAGAAACCTATGTAGTAATCATGACTTACCTCTTTAGTAATAAAGCAAGTGTTTATGTCATGATCGAGAGCCAAATGGGACGAAGAGCCATTTCCGACGCTTGATTGGTTGGTAGATTTTAAGAACTCCACGTTAACTGTTGACGAACGGTCTATTTTAGCCACAGAAAAAAAAAAAGAAAGAAAGAAAGAAAGAGAAAGAAAAAGAAAAAGAAAAAGAAAAAGAAAAAGAAAAAAAAAAAAAAAAAAAAAGAACGAAAATTCAAGTGGGTTGGAAACATCATCACCTGAAGGTCGTCCGCAGTTGATTCTGAGTTGTCTTTTGTGGTTTGTTTCGCTGTTAACAAAAGTCAAACGAACAAGTTTAGTAGACGGGTACGTTATTAAAAGCAATGTCACAACCCTGAGACATCCATAGAAGTTGAGACGCCGTACGAACTTCAAACCTAATAAGCATATTTTAGAAATCTTCAAAATCATGCATGTTATTATATCGAGCATTGTCGTTAAATACAGTTGAAGTTTTTTTTCAGTCTTTATTACCTGTCTACAATCGTCGAACAGTTGAACAATGACGTCTCGTTGCCATGGCAATGCTCGACGACAAAGACTTTCTCCCTGTGTCTGATAGTCGAAAATGGCACAGTCCGAGGTTCACCAGGAAGATCTAACATCCTACAGGCTACTATTGTTTGTTTATCTATTAACTTCTCGCTTTGTTCGTAACCCACGTAGACACGCAGAACACCATGAATGGAATCCCGTACCCATAAAACACCTTGGTTAGGTGTGGCACCTCCTGCTAGAAAAACCTCTGTAAAACAAGATGAATAACAGACCTTATTAACTTGGGCGTAATGTTTTCCCATCTCATACCACGTGTTGATTCTCTTGAGAATAAGATTCTTTGTTTGAGTGGTGCCAATATTCATGTGTCTTCTTATGCGCAACCGTTAAACAAAGAAATGATACTCTAGGGAAGGACACATGGTCTTGAGAATAAGATTCTTTGTTTGAGTGGTATCCATATTCAAGTGTCTTCTCATGCGCAACCGTTAAACAAAGAACTGATACTCTAGGGAAGGACACGTGGTCTTGAGAATAAGATTCTTTGTTTGAGTGGTATCCATATTCATGTGTCTTCTTATGCGCAACCGTTAAACAAAGAAATGATTCTCTAGGGAATGGCATGTGGTCTTAAGAATAAGATTCTTTGTTTGAGTGGTATCCATATTCAAGTGTCTTCTCATGAGCAACCGTTAAACAAAGAAATGATACTCTAGGGAATGACGCATGGTCTTGAGAATAAGATTCTTTGTTTGAGTGGTATCCATATTCATGTGTCTTCTCATGCGCAACCGTTAAACAAAGAAATGATACTCTAGGGAATGACACGTGGTCTTAAGAATAAGTTTCTTTGTTTGAGTGGTATCCATATTCATGTGTCTTCTTATGCGCAACCGTTAAACAAAGAAATGATACTCTAGGGAAGGACACGTGGTCTTGAGAATAAGATTCTTTGTTTGAGTGGTATCCATATTCAAGTGTCTTCTCATGCGCAACCGTTAAACAAAGAAATGATACTCTAGGGAAGGACACATGGTCTTGAGAATAAGATTCTTTGTTCGAGTGGTATCCATATTCAAGTGTCTTCTCATGCGCAACCGTTAAATAAAGAAGTAACACGTAGTCTGAAATGAGAAAGGCGAACGAATGATAGAAAAAAAATATAAAAGAACGATTGAGGAATGAGAATTGTCATTCATTTTAAGGTTGACTAGCAGTTACCTCCAGCATATGCATATTGCCCTACTATCGAGGCTTGTAACAAAGCAAGGAGTAGTGATAACTTGTATATCAAGTATTTGTACAAGACCATGACGTGATCTAAAAGTGGAAAAATACAACATGTCAGTATACCTAGAAAACGAACACCTTTCGAGCAAGCTTCTTGTTGCAAAGTATAGAGCCACTCAGCAAAAAACTCGATCCGCATATGCCGTCCACAAGCGTCGTGCGAGAGATCCGGCTTTATGGACTTACTGTGACGAAAAGATGTGTGAATGACGTCTCTCTCATGAATACGAAAAGCTTATTACACACGATTTATTGGAAGAGTTTTTTGCTGAGGTTCAGTAAGATTAATCTGTTTTAAAAGCTTACATGATATAAAGAGTAGAGCGTAAATACTCAGCAATATGCCCATGAAAAAATGTTACGATTTAGCGCTACAACCTAGCACTTGTCGCACTTTGAAGTAACCTTCTTCGTGCTCTACTAATATATATATACACGACTTAAGTAAAAATTAGCTGTCGCACTTAAAATCAAGCATCCTGAATGCAAATACCCTGGTACATAAGTACAGCTAGTGTCAATAAATTGTCAATATGACTGAACATCTAATACCTTCATATGACAGCTTTGCGTTAATATCTTGGAATTAATTAGGACATTGTGTACGTTTGAGATTGATCGGATGTTTGTAGGATGTAAAGTGGACAAATATATGAAATGAAGCTTTTGATGAGCTCTTATGCCATATGGTTGCTACGAATAATTTAATTTCATGTATAATTGGATGTTTGTATGCCCATTAGTGTTTTTATAAGATGACAACTTTCAAAAGTATCTATGCTGTTCTGCCTGCAGGTGCGTTGCAACCAATAGCTGACGAGACAGTCAACATTTTTATTATTCGATTCGGTCATAATCACTGTGATGTCATAGTCATAAAGTTTTTCTCTTCTCTTCACTTGCTTTCCTTCTGTCGTTTTACTGCCCGTTATTCTTCTCTTCTCTTCACTTGCTTTCCTTCTATGATC